AAAAAAAAAAAAAAAAAAACCTAATTAAGGGCCCTAACCCGAGAAATAAGCTATAACACGACATCTCTATAGGTCCATAGGGTAGCTCGGTCTACTGAACCCCAACCGAGCGTCGCCAACCAAGCTGAGCGCTAGTCCGCAGCTTGGATCATGGGTTCTGCAGATATCGTCGCATAGATGCAGCAGACTCCACCTCCCCAGCGCGGCTTGTATATTAAGAGCCCGAAAGAAAAGGGTGGCAGAACACGGCCGAACATCTGACATTCCCATCTCGCATCTGCAGATGGGCCACTGGCAGGGCTGGATGACCACTCACGGCTTTACGTCTGGTGGCTCTAGCCTCTCCGATCAATGACATGTCTCGGCTTTGAGAAGTCGCCGATTACCCACTCTGTAGCTGTTTGAGCTAATTCTCTTAGTGAGGTGTAGGTGGGGACGCATGTTTGTATCTTGTTTGGGGTTAGGTTGTGATGAGTGGCCAGCCACTGCTTATTGCTCGCATCGATTGCCTGAGTTAGATATAGCTTCTTTTTTTTTTTTTTTTTGTTCTTTTTCAGGGCTTGGTCGGGATCCGTATGGGGTTGTTGGGAGATGCTATTGTAGGCTGGTGAAGGGAACAGTGTGTTTTAGTGTCCTATGTGGTGAGCTGGGTCTGGGTTGGGAACCAGAATATTTTCAAGGTCTGTGGCAGCTTGGTCACTCCAGCAGATCAATAGCGATCTCTGTGAACCAAGCGATGTAGATAGCTTGGTCTGAGATCTCTGCACGCTGCATGGGCCTCTATAATATGAATCTATATGGAGGTCTGGTACGGAGCAGAGATGCATGGTCGATCCATCCAGAGATTCACGATACACGGTATATTTAGCACGGAAACACGTCTCTCCGGCATAGACAACACAGTGACACACAGCAGAAATGTCTTACATCTGACTCCGGGTCTCCAGAGACGAGCTAAGCACTCGTCCGAATGCTGGGCATATACGCGGTGGAATATCGTGTCTGTCGCGTCGCCAGTCAAGACGGTCATCCTCGGCGGGTCGGAGGGGGCAGCCTCGGTGAGCAGGAGCAATTAACGATGACGCCGAAAGGTAGGATGACGCCTGTGGGCCTGTCAGACTGTGCAAGTGGAGAGAGAACGGGGACGTGAACATCCGAGAATCGTTAGGTGCCCGTCCCGGACAAATTCGGTTACGGGAGAGAAGCCGAAGTGGCCAGGCTAATGCCACCCATATCACCTCGAATTTAATTAACCAGGGCCGTCATGGGGTCGATTGGCATGTGTTTTCTCCATCGTGGTCGGCAATTGAGCACGTCAAGACCGGACAGGAGGTTGAGAAGGAACAAAAAATAAAGGACAATCCTTCGAGGACGAGGTTCCACATTCCATGTAGCTATTGAATTGACTTCATGATGCCGATCATGGTACCGAAGGAACCGGCGAATTAAGAGGCTCGTATTTGACCAGCCACGACCAAACTTCGTCTCTGATATCCCTCGCGCCGCGAGTCTAAATGCACAACAAATTGGACGTTTCCACTGTCTGCGAATCCTTCGCGACCGTAACCGAAGTCAAAAGATCACAAAATTGATTGCGTTCCTTGAACCGTCAACCGAGGTCGGGTCGCTTAATTGGAAAAAAGCGAAGATCCAGAGCAAACAAAAACGATTATCGTGTTGTTAGTCACGGGGATCGGAAGAGCCCCAGAATCAGGCCACAATGGCATTAACTTTCGATGGGGCTCGGATTCAGAGCAAAAAATCACCCCATTTGGTCCACTTCTCTTTAGTTTACCCGTGGATGAGAGGGATTACTCCGTAGACACAGAGAGAGGAAGACCTCTGGCTGTATTTTCCGATCACACGACATTTTTCTTCCCTGGTTGAGACCCTGGTCGGGCTGGGATAGGCTTCCTGTTTCTTTTCTTCCAATCCTTCCACGGCTTCGATGCCACTTGGGGATCACGGATCGAGGCTGAGATCTCTCTGCCACCTCCGATAGCTACGCGTCGCTCTGCTAACTCGATATGATTAACCTCCTAACGCATTCTAAAACTACACCGCTGGGGGATGATGTCAGCCTGGCGAGACAGCCGTTTAGGGCTACCCGGAATAAACTACTACAAATGTGCAGTAGTCCACCCAATTAATATAAAAATAAAATGTCTTCCCTGAGACTCGGTCGGGAATCGGACCCGAATAGTGGAGGACAAGTCCCATCCAGGCATCCTTTTCTGTCTGGCATTCGAACTAGTAGGACGGAATGCCCCGTATACGCTGTGAGACATGGGGAACGTCGTCGGTAGAAGGAGACAGCCTCGACAGTCGTAGAGACTTCAGTTATTAGACGAGCTACACATCCATTAAAGGGGTTCGTTCACTGGATCTGACATTCGGGGACTCCATCCCGAGTCGGTAAAATTCGATAGGGACGGTACGAGTAGTAGTAGTAGTATAGAAACCGAGATTCGCAGACTCATCCTGCCGAGCATCAGAGAATCAGACAAGCGACCTGCACGTCATTCGCATCTCCATCTCCGATAAATCCCATACCTGGATATCTGGATGACCGTCGCGGATCCTGACTCAGTATCAACATCAATTCCCAAGCCCAATCACGTCCAAGCGAAAATTAATAGGCACATCCTTCGACCCACTGCACCACGTGTTTCATGAAGAGAATAGGCGCTCACCAGCTGAATCCGGAGAGAGACCGGGAAGATCCCTCCATAGAACGGATCATAGGAAAAAGAAAAACGAAAGAAAAAATAGCAAAGACATACTAGTGCACAGGAGTATCCCCGTCGTACAGCCCTGCATCAGACCACTGGGGAAGAGGAA